CTATTTTTTGCTTGAACGGTTTTACAGCCTTGGTGGCAGAGATGAAACAAGGTCCTTTAGAGAAGACCATTGCGTTTTTGTTAAGTCAAGCCCCAGAAGTTTTAAAACACTTGAGCCGTTGCAGAGCAACAGGCCGTCCTCGGAACGAGGCCTGGGGGGACTTGGAAGGAAACTGAGATTTCCAAAAAACCAGCATTGAGAGAGAAACAAGAAGAAATGCTGGTGTCCCTCGGGGCCCAGTCAGGGTCTGGGGTGTGGCCCGCCTGGCTGGGGGGGGGACGATTGTCTGGGAACGTCCCCTTCACGTGTTGTGGACCGTGAAGGGGGGGGGGACATTCGGCTTGGGAGTTCTTTTTCTGTTCCCAACTTTTACTATCTTTGATAACTTTGCTGCAGAGCGAATAAGAAAAAAGGTGCTGCTTGCTGCTTACTCTTTATATATATATATACACCATATATGTATCATATATATATATTATATTGCTTTAGTGTTTACAGTGCACAGGTGGCACATCACCTCACATCGCGACCACAAGCAGCATCACACGTCTCCTATCATTGCAGATCATTCCGGCATGTTTACGGTTGCCTCCACAAGTAAACCAGAGCTTAGCTAGAAAGGATTTTGGTTTGAGGCTAAGTCTTTAACACGTACAGGGGAGTGTTTCAATGTCTATTGCACATGATCATGTGGAACCACTATTCTCTTTTTCCTGTTTCCCTTGGAAATTTCATCAGCCCTTGTCTACAAGCAATCTAGGATCCTGTCCTTGGAAGCTGTGTCTAGCCCAAGGGGCGATGTTGGTGACCAAAACTTTGTCGGCGCTTCATGTCGGCTTCTTGTCTGAATGAACACATTGAGTACATATGCAGGGGTTTGAAGGGTGTGGGCCCGTTGTATACTCAAAGAAGGTTCTGAAACCCCTCTCGGTGCTCCTTGCAAAAGGGGTCTGCAGATCAAACTGTGCAGGTTCTTCGTCCTCGTCACAAGGTCGTCGACTGCGCCGCTCCATGCCAAGCATCGGAGTGAATTTGCACCGGTGGTCGAGCAGAGAAAGTGCGCTTCATTCAGATGTTTGGCACAAAAGAATGGAATGGTGGGGATGTTTTCTTTACACAAAAGAATGCGGCTACTGACGGGCTGAAACGTCGAAACGTGTCGCGGGCTGAAACGTCGAAACGTCGAACCGTCGGCGCCCGGCCGGGTGGACACAATTGTGGGTCATGAGGCACACGGCTAGGGAGGGAACCCTCCATGGCCTGGCATCTGAATCAGGTCCTTGTCATGGCTTGGATGTTTATGGGTGATCATGCTGAGGAAAATATCCATGCCAAGACCCAAAGAATCCGTCGTCGTTTCTGCAATCGCGCTTAATTAGACTGAGTGGTTCGTGTTCCTGGTCTTAGTCTATGGCTTTCTACGTTGCCCAGCCTAAGTCCCTATCCAAGTTGTTGTGTTTTCTTCCCAGAGATGACCCAATTTCCTGCAGAACCGGGATCAGACCCTGTCCCCAAACAGCTTTCACATCCTTTCCGTTGGCGTCCGCCGGGCTGTCAGCGGCCGACACGACCAGCCGAAGAGCGGCTGGTCTGACGCGCCTGTGGAGGATTCGTGGGAGACTCAGTCACTTTTTGCTCAAGAGTGTTCTTTTGCTAGGTTATTCGATAGGGAACACAACGTTGGACATTGGAATTGGTAGGGCCTGCTTGACAAGAATGTTATAGAGTTGTGTGACTTGGGTCAACGGATATCGGTCTTTGATGGCCTTTGCAAGGAAAGTAAACTACAGTAACCAAAAAACAGGATGTAGCACCCTTGGGACTTCCTCGTGCTGGGACAGACCCTGAGAGCTTGAGCATTGACGGATGGTTTGTTTGCTTGGTGGGCAAGTGCAATATTGATTTGCTATATACCTAGTAGCTTAGTGGCAGGCACAACAGAGGTTGAGACAGCAAAGAGACTTTCGCTTCAAACTCGTTTGATTCATTATCTTTGCCGCCCTCCACGAGAAAACAAACATATGGGATGGTATGGGATGGTCACAGAGAGGGTCTTTGACTCAAGTGTTAAATGCCTTCCAATCGAGGTGGGTTTCAGACACGTATGATCAGGTACCGATTGGCTATGACTCTATTGGAAAGAGACTCTTGGTTTTTTGAGGGAAAATGATGACTATTCATTATCTCAGGTTTCGTTTCTTGATGAGCATACAGTACATCTCCTATGTTGGTGAGATATGCTTTAGCAACAGCTCGACAAGGTTTCTGCAGCTTCTTCAGTCCCAATCCAAGGCCACTTTTTAATTGGAACTGTAGGAGTCTCCTTGTTCTGTTGCTAGGATCACCCTGAATCCACAGTTTGTACCGGGGTATTCTATGGGGAACTGGTATATTGGCCGATGAAACCACCAAAATTGATGGGTTCCATGGCACCGGCACCAACCGGGAGCTCAGGCTCACCAAGCCTCACCGCGCACTCCACCTGATAGACTCATTAATCTGGGATCTTGATTTATCAACTACACCCCGGGTCAAACAACGAAACAATATCAATTTGATCAATCGAGATCCAGCGTAGGTGCTCAATTCAAGTTGGAGGTCCAAAAAAGTTTGAGTATCGCTCGCAGTCATCGGCACTGAGGTGAAACAACATTTGATGGCCGCATACTGGCGCACTATCCATGTCGAAAAGGCCAATTGCCAAGCACCCATTGAGCGAGAGATGTTTGATGAAGTCATACGAAGACTCAATGGGCTAACATTCTCACACATCAGAAGATCTATAGGACATGGCCTTGACGCTTTGAATTAAAAGTGGAATATGTAATATAGAAATATATAGAACAATATAGATCATTTATATAATTGAATCCATCCTTGGAGCCTCGTTGTTGATCCGGGCCTTCAGTATAGGGCTTTTTCATCGCCGCAACCCTCGGCCAGAGCATTTTCGCCATGGCGACTGCAATGACTCAGCCGCCGGTGCGCCAGCGATTGAGTCGCGTGTTGGTGTGTTGGCGTGTGTGTCAAGGAATAGACATAACTCATTATAGTTATATAGTGTCCCTTTCCAACCTCGTTGGTGCGCGAACGCTTGTGTGTTCATCCTCCACGACCGTCTGGGGCCAGAAGGCCAGGCCACCATTCCGGGTTCAGAGTATAGGCCATAGGGGAACATTGCAATGGGGCAAATTAATTACACTAAATCAAGATGGCACATTAGTGTGATAGCTGTTTCGTCTAACAACTCTACTGCCAACAACTCGTTTTGGCTCGAGCACCACTTCTTGCGGGCTGCAAGACATTTTTCCGCGTTGTGGTGCCGATCGGTTCAAGCGTCCATCTGGCGTCATCGGTACCGGTTTCTGTAGCACCATGCCAACCCCCAAGACCCTCCATGTATAGCAGATTTACCAATATACATTCAGGTGGTTTCGGGGCTACCTATATATATATATTATATATATACTGTATATATAAGATACTAAGCCCAAATACCGAGAAATTCTTCGGACAAATTTTATAGTAACAAGAAGCTACTAGTAGCTCCTGACATGACTAGTAGGAGCAGGAAGCTACTAGCGCTACTAGGAGCAAGTAGCCACTACTAGTAGTAACAAGAAGACATTTTGGGACTTTGCCGAAGACTTTTGGACACCGTCGCAGGTCTTGGAGGCGCTCCGGGAGGACGTGGCGCTGGCGGAGCGGCTCGCTGAGCAGCGGCGTCAGGCGTGGCGCTGGGTGCGGCGGTGCGAACGTGGCTGTTGGATGCTGAAATCTGGTGGCAAATGGTTACGGTGCAGCGGCAACTCTGGTGATGGCCCAGAGACAGAGGGAAGCCTACAATCTTTAAAACACCTTTTTGATCCAATCAAGCCCCAGCTATCAGTTTAGCCAGGCTTCCTATTCTGGCCTCCAATTTGTTTGTTTTTTGTTGATCAACCTGGACCTGGCTGGACTGACTGAACCCTGCAGAAAAACGGTGATTCCACATATCTCTCATGGAACACCCTCCTTCCAGACCTCGACCGCACCCTTCCGCCCCAGGACTTGGTGCGGGCGCGGAACCAGGAAGATCGCCAGCTGCGGACGTGCCACGCGCAGCAGCGGGAGGAGGTGAGACGGGAGGGGCGAGGACGGAGCATGGGAGCACCGCCTTTGGGCGTTGGTTTTGGTTTTGGGATAGGATGGGATACGATGGGATGACCGGATGGGAGGATGTGATTTGATGGTAGGCTTTGATGATGGTTTCCTCCATGTCAATTATCAAGATTGGTCCAGTGGTTGATCCAACCTCATATATTATATATAGTGGAAGTCTTTTACGAGATGCTTGGCCGGTTGCTCATAATTGTGAGGAGTCAAGGTTTGCAACATCTTCCGGACGAAAAGAGCAATCCCCTTGCACTTCCGAACATCTTCCACCATTGTTCCCCAACCAGGAGCATCAAGAGCGGGCGGCAACCCGGCGCGTGCTGGATGAGATGCGCCAGGCAAGCACATGGTCAAGTGAGTCAAGTCTTTTCCAACCTGGTGCAAGACACTCATGGTCAAAAGTCTGGTGCAAGACACATCCATCCATTGAACTTGTTTGGGCTTCGCTTTCAGTCCTTGTTGGCGCGGGTAGAAACTCAAACAACAGAAAGACCATCTATGTATAGTATGTGCCTCCAAATGCACCGACAGCAGGTGCGGCAGAAGGTGCACGGACAGCTCCGAGCGGCACAGGCGGGGGTCATGGGCCGTGGCTTCAAAGGAATTTGATGTGATTTTGTGTCTTAACATATCGGACCACTTTTGGGGTTCATGATACAATCACCCTGAAATGTGGGTGCCATCAGTGCAGTCTCCTTGAGCCCACTCTACTTCTTTGGATGGTCTTGGACCTTGCTGTGAAGGAAGAAAGCCTTTGTGGCTGGCACAGCATGAGCGGTGGCAACTATGTACGGTGTGTGTGTGTGTGTGCGTGTGTGCGTGCCTGGATATACTTTGTGTTACTTTTCTGTTTCACTTTCAGGAATATACAGCATTGTGGTATGTCATGACAAATCAATCGTTGTGCCCCAGTTTTGCTCAAGGATTGGCTAAAGCCCATCTCCCCGTCCGCCTCCTGCCAGCATGTCTCGCTGCTCTTTGTTCCGCAGCTTGGTGAATCAGACCGCTGTCCGGAACTTCCGGAACCTTTCGGAAGCTGTAGGCTCCGACTCTGCAGTCACCATGCTCATGACAGGTCTTTCGTCCGCAATGGGCCATTGCACGAAGTATGCGCAAAAGCTCCTCTCTGCTCCAGAGCCAACTCCGACCCAGCAATTGAGTCAGTACGCAAATCAAAAGATCATTCACTCCAGGATGATCAACTCGGCAGTGATTTCCCAGATGGAGATGGTTGGAATGAGGGAGTTTATGGCCGTCCAGCGCATGATTATCCCAATGACATCAGTGAAGGAGAAGACCCATCGGGGACTCGCAGCCAAAGGAGTGCCCGACAAGGTCGCTGAGGCTATTGGCATGCAACTTGATGGGGCCGAGAAGTTTGCAGACCAGTGGGATGATTTCGAAGTGGACGAAACAGGCAGCGCACATTCTTACAGGGTGATCGTGAGGTTGAGCTGCCAGGATAACGGTAAGTGTGATCTGGCCATTGCTGCAACTGGCGCATCGTTCAATGCAGCCAAGGAGATTGATCACTATGAAACACAAGAGAGTCTTGGTCGCTAGTAGTACAAATTTACCCGTGTGGGATCGTGTTACATGCTGATGCTGATACTGTTGTTCTTTTTCAATCAGATAGGCACCGATAATCACAGATAGGCCGAACGGTTTTACTTCCTGAATCGCTGAACGTAGGATTCCAGAGTATGGCGAGGAAGACAGGCTTATCCACGAGTATGAGGATGGCCTTTTGGGCCGTTACCACAAGACCAAAACGGTGAAGGTTCGGGTGCAGATTGGTACGCGAGTGAAGAAGATCCCAATCATGAAGCAGAAGACCTTTACAGCAAGCACTATGGAAGACGTCAAGAACTACTTAGAGGGCAAAGCAATGAAGGAGGTGTTGCTTTTGGCCGGGCCTCAGAATCAATAGATCCGGAGGAGATGAGCGCTTCGCAGCTTGCCAATCTTTCCATTTTTGTGCGTCAAACAGAGCTTTTGCAAGACGCAAACATAAACCTTTTAACGCGTCATACACTATCTTCCACTGACGCGAATAATCCAATTTAAAGTACTATGCAAGATCAAAAGTTATCCAAAGTACACAGCTAGCACGTAGCAGCTGCTAGCTTTATGTACGGCCGGGCAATAGTCCTTCAAGGCCAATGACGTCCTTTTCAATACAGACTCGAAGAGGAGAGGAAAAATTACGTCGTACTCCATGTCTCGTGTCAGTTGATCTCTCATCAACAGCACAGACGGTAGACGGTAGGGTAGATGGTCAATATCATTGGGCTTTTTCACCAGGCTGCAAGATACTTTTACACCAGGACATGTTGGCACCATTCCCCAACCAAAGAAAAGCTTCCCCGTGCAGTTTCCTGTAGTAGAGAAGAAGCTTGCAAAATGGTTTGGCCAGAGTAAGCTTAAGCCCTGGCCGTTGTGGTAACTGATCGAGTGTAGAGTACTCATAGAGCCGGACCAGAGGATAACCACCACAGCGAACTGAATGTAACAAATAATATCAATAAAGAGCTTGAACTCAAAGAAACAAGACAACGTGTAAGTGGGATAGTTGATGATAGTTGGTTCTCCTATCTCTATTCTTGGGGATGGTTACCAACTCACCAGCCAGGTCAGGTTTGATCTTTCTATCTGGTCAGTCGTTTGGGTTTTCCGAAAGACTCGACCTTGGACGAAGTGAAAGCAGAGGCCCATGCCTTCCACAGCACTGATGACCACGTGGCTGGGCAACGATGGACCGCGGTGCGATGGTTTTGGTTTTGGTGACGGGATTCCCTTGAAGTTTTTCGTTGCCAGTAATTACTGTTTTGGAGTTTCGACAATATTCCAATGCATACACCCTCGTACCCAGCTTGGCTAGTTGAAGGTTTTTGAGGTGGCCTTCAGACGCAAAATTTGCCAGAGTGTGGGTAATAATCCAAGATGACCTGCACTCAATTAGTTGTTTTGAGGTCAAACCAGGATTTCAACATGCAAATTATGGCACAAAAGACTACTGTATACTTGTGAACATGAAAACTTGGAATTATATCAGGGTTCCCCTCCATAGCAGACACACCAAGAGCAAACATCGGCACTCTCCCAGGCCTTGGTCCGTGCGGGCAAGCGTGCCTTGACGGCGTGGGGTTCCTTGGCCCCGGCGGACTGGACTCCCATGGAGCCTTGGAGGTTCTCAGCTGAACCCATCGGCCAGGCCAATAAAAGCATCCTCAAGAGGTCGTCCCCGTTGGGTTTCATCGTGCCATATCGTGCCTGTTGGTTTGCTGTGATCGGATGTCATCGGCACCTTTTTGTTGAGGTGTCTAGACAGGTTGTGGGTAGCTAGTAGCAACACCATGCGGTTTCTGGTACCTTCTAGACTCTACAGCGTCAGACCCCTTGGAATGAAGGAATTGGATTGTGTTACTTCTGGATGTACCTCCAAGATCCTCCAAGTTGTGAGGCTGTTTGATACGGTTTAAGGATGTCAAAGTGCAGTACCACCACAGCCACAGCCGTTCATGGCACCCTGGCACCCTGCTTTGCTGCCAGGAGGAAGCACCAAGAGCAATGGGAGGCCAAGGGGAGAGTAGCCAGTCGTTCACGTGCTCCTTCATGCCACGTTCAGACAGCAAGAAACAACACATAATCACCGTTCCTAGACTCCTAGACGTGATTTTCCTTTTTTTTTTTTTTCTCGCTTAAAACGCCGATGCTTTTTGTCGCCACCGAAACAACACCGACGAACCGCCAAGTCCGGTCCTTCGGAGGCACAAGCGTCCTGGACTGAGAAACAGATGCAGCTGAGCATCGTACAGGCCACCGGAATCGGCCCTCGGTGAGGAGGGAAGAATGTTCACTTGCAGCCAACTGACTTGCGTAAGTTTGCAGTTGATAGTTTTTACTTACAGTTTTTATATGTGTCCACGAACAAAACCTAATTCTGGCATGGGCAGCCAATACAGAGTCGAACAGTGTACATTTTGAAGGCGTATACATTTTGAGACGGTTTCATTCATGTGCATCATTGTGCATCCCTGTTTGGGCGTTGCTTTTGGATCCAGTGTTGTGCCGGCGTGTCCGTTTCCTTGACGCCTCGCCGGTGCTCCAAGATGCCCAAGTGGTGGTGGAACTCTTCCATGGCAAGGCAACAGCGGCGGAACTTCCATGACATTGGACATCAGTTGCACTTCTTTTTCAAGAATCCATGGAAGTCGAGTGAACACCCACCGAATACCACCTTCATCTTTGGTAGACTCGGAAGACTCATCATCCGAGTCTTCGGGGATCATGCCATTTTTATCAAGGAGTGTAGGTCCCAGCTGGAGAGTTTGCGGCGACTGAGTTGGCACGGACTTGACTCAGTCTTGGCCTCCCAAGACTGTCGAAGCTGGAGGTCGAACTTACTTGCTGAGTTGGAAACAACATCGGGAGCCGGGTTGTGGCATGTGCAGAAAAAAAAACTGACTTGCGTAAGTGTGCAGTTGGTGATTACTTCCAAGTCTTCCTCCAGTCTTCCGATGTGTCCACGAACAAAACCCTTGATTCTGGCATTGGTATTGAGTTGAAGCCATGCTGAAAACGCCCTGCAAGATCCGAACGTGCGAGAATGTGGCGATTGGACGGTAACGGCAGCTGAATGCGGCAGCTGAATGTAGCGCAGCCGCTGCCACTAGAACGGCTTGCAGTCTCCAACCAGTTGTCGCTCTCGAACGGCGCTGAGAAGATGAGCAGATTCTCGCAGTTGATTCTGATACTTCTTGCAGCATTTCCAGTCTGTGCTGAGGGAGTCTTTGGTGATTGTGACATCACTGGATTGCTTCAACAAGCTGCTGTCAGGCCACACTCGGAGCACTCCAGCAATGACAGCGAGTTTGTGATGATTCACATTCCGAAAACTGGCGGGACCTCTGAAATAAAGACGTCCCTTTGGTGGTCGGGCGGCATTCAATGGGCATTGCGGCATAAGGTAGAGAGATCTTGGAATGCAACTCCTCACACAACGCATCAACTTGATGTCGTCAATCTCCGTTTGCCCATGCGTCGCATGTGGCCTGCCCGAGGTCTTGCAATCGAGTTGCACAAAGGTCGTCAACTCTTCGTCCTTCCCCACTGGTCCAAACGTTCTGAATGGGTTTGAGGATGTTTGAGGATGTTTGCGCGTCATGTTGTGGAGCTCAATTCCCCCACACCAAATGGCGATTCGGAAAACATGAAGGAGTGGGCTGAGAGACAGGTGTACGACTTGCCGGGGTGCTACAACCCGTGGAACATGCAGACCAGGGATTTAGCCACAGATTGATTCGGACCACACTCAGAAGCGGTGCGAGGTGAGTGCTGACAAACATGCCGAGAGTCAAGATGGCACAACTGGCTTGCACTTCGCAGCTTGCAATGGTCATTCAGAAGTATTGCGACATTTGTGTGAAGCTGGTGCTGATCAGACGCTGTGATTGCAAGACGACACAACAGCTTGCCCGCAGCAGCTCAGAAATGGTCACAGTGAAGTTGCTCAGCTGTTAGAGATAATGTCTGTGACCCTACTGTGCAGTGGGCTGTGGACAAAGACTCTCGTTCCCCTGGCTGTGATTCTACGATAGCTTAGACAGGATCGTTTTTGGCACGGTAGACAAGGTCTATTGCGGCTTCCCCAAAACAAGACCTTGGGTCGTTTGTCAGGACAAGGAATTGCTGAAGAATATCCAAGAGGCCGCGTCTCAAAGGGTGGCCGGGCAGCCTAGAGCTTGGGGCGTGGTCTGTGCAAGTCAATGGAAAAGCACTATGTGGCTGTAATAAATTATGTAAGACAAGTCGTTGCTTCATCCCTCCCTGTTCCTTGGTCAGTGGACTGTCTTGAAATCTCACGTGTTTTTTGGTTACATTAAGTATGAAATACATTGAAATACATTTGACGTACTATGAAATACTGCATACACTTCAGGAGGAAGAAAGTGTGTTCTTCCTACCGGGTCTTACCCTTACATCGATGTGGATCAGCTGGGGTCGGATTAAGAAGTCCATTTCGCGGTCGGATCAGGTGCGGGACTCTCAAAACGGCTTTCGAGAGAGGAAATTCGACCGTATCGCTTGCAGGATTCTACGGGAAAAGGGGTTTCACTCAAGAACCGGCAAACAGAAAAACGGTTTGTCCTAGTGGTGTATAATCGGTGCTCTGAGTCTCCGATTTGGCACAATGCGCACAAGTTTATTAACGTCATAACATGACTTATTGTATAGCATGATATGAATTGGTTAATTTGGATGAACAATTGTTGGAATCAACATAATTTCTGATGTTGATGGCACAAGTCAAAGCTATGTCTAAGGACCTGATGTGTTTGCTGTGCAACTGGTGCCTTAAACATAAAAACGCACGTGTAGTGCATGGCACTGTCTGTGTGGGGCCATGCCCTACGTCTGACGATTCTGCACAAGGCCTCAATGGACTCGGTGGCCCAGCAGCGGGTGGAGAAGAGTCAGCAGTCTGGGCACCTGGTGGGCACCGTTGGACCGGACCAACCGGGGAGGGGAGAACTGGTCGAACTGGTAGATGACGTTTTGCATCCAAAGATGAGGATGGTGTTTGATGGTGGGGTTCTGGAAAGACCATCAACAATACATTTGCATCCTGCATTTGCTTGCTATGGGATTCATGGCCTCTTGATGTCGCCAAAAACTACCAGGTATTGCAAACCCAAGTGGCAACTGCATTCGTGGATGCAGCAAACATAGAATAGCTTTGTGATGGGGCTGGGCTGGGGGATCATTGGACTCTTGATGTAGTATTGGCCTTCCGGTGACCACCAGTGACTTAGTTGCCCTCCAGAGAAACTGAGAAAACCTAGTAGGGGTGACAGAATTCGTGACAGTCCTCGATCCTCCACAGGGTTCATAGTATAGGACAACAAAAAGCCATCCCAGTCTTTGATTGCATCACAATCACCGCCAAGGCTTTTGCACTTCTCCAAGGAACAGGATGCCAACTTGCGCTTGCCTCTCGGCGATGGTTGATCAGAAGGGACGACCGATGGTTTGACCAAGTCGTCCCTGAAAATAGCAGGTTTGACCAGAAGTATATAGTTTGGGTTGATCAGGAGTGTTGCAGAAGTCGATGCTCTTTGTAAAACGCCAAGGAACTCTGATGATAGACTTTGCTAAGTACTTTCTGCATTGAAATGCGGGAATATATTTATCCTGCAATTAG